ATCTTTACCAGAACCAAGCGCGAGGTCAGGCATACTACCCCTTGAAAACGCCGCGAGATTCCAAAGATGACATTTTGATGAATCGTTTACATCCACTCGAATCTTAAGCTATCAACATGTTTTGCTGTACGTCTTGCTAAAAAGGGTACTGTTCTGCTGCAATTGGTTACCTGCAACTCAAGTTATCTCCGAGAACTATCAATCAGCGTCAACTAATTTGGAAGAACAAATTTTGTTTTTTTAGAATCTTCCTTGCAGCAATATGGAGCCATGGAAGTTAAGTAATTCAAAATATACACAAGTGTCCTTCTCTTGCAATTTATAATTCTTTCAGCGCTACCTGTGCAACAACTGGCAATTCAGCGATTACTTAAGCCCAGGCTGGCCGTAGAAAATTCTAGAAAATGGATGAATTTTTATGAAAATGAGCAATGAATCCGTATGAAATTTGTTATCGAAGATCTTTGAAAAACACTAGTACACCCCTTGTGCCATCATGCATGAGCAGATCATACTCAGGTTTGTAAACGCATTCGTAACCATGTTTCATCAGCAACTTCTGATTGGCTAGTGACGTTGCCTCAGACACAATGCCTTGGAATCCTTCTTTCTTGAAATAAACCATGTAGCATGTTAGAAAATGAGCTGCAGGACCTACCCTCAACTGGTTGAAATCCAGTCCAAGATGTAGTAAATAGTTTGCAATTCCCTTTCGTTGATGTTTCGGGACTACATGGGTGATCTCACGCCGTAGAACTTTGTGTATCGATTGGTCAGCAACCTTCCAGAATGCTTGCTTTGACTCGTCCAAGATCTCGCCGAAAATGTTTACACCCGTGCTCCGAATAACCAAATTAACTTATCAACTCACAAAGTCGTTTTACAGATGGATCACTTGGCTCAATGAATGGAATGGGTTCGACCTCAAGGCTATGGTTTCTATGTCCAACGGATAGAAGTCGGAATCCGATCAGATTTCTTGTTCCCTAAACTCCTTTAAAGTTTATCATCAGTATCGTTTAATAAA